GTCTTTGCCTTCTCCTCCGAACAAACTTCTATTTATCTTTTAATACCCATCTCACATGTGTCTTCTTAAAGCCTCCCCCATTGGTAAACAGGATTAGTGAGTCTTCTCTGGGCTTACAAAGACTACTTCAATCGTTGCTATATAGTATATGTTAGTTGTTTGTCTGTCTCTCCTGTTAAGACTGTGAGCTCCTTCTTCCTCTTTGCATGGCTAACATTATGCTCGGTATAAAGCACGCACTTAATAGATGTTTGCTGAAGGAATGATGAATTTTTGATGACTGAAAGCTATTTATTAAAGTACTCATCATTGAACTTAAAAGAGTGTCTTCCTCATAGGAATGTTCTGTTGTAGAATAACTTCAGGAATTATACATGGAATACAAGTTTCAGCACTGTTATTGTGCTGAACTTGATGACTCTGCAAAATTTTCACTGACTCCATACACATTTCCTGATTCTAGCTTCTGCTTGGAAACTTTCCCTCATATCTCTATTACAAGAATGCAAAGCATCTGTCGTGAGCTCTCTACCCTCACAGATAACGAAGTCCATAAAACGAAGGGGACAGAGAAAAGGCAGGATGTTCCTTATGTTCCATATTCCTTTTCATTTATACCTGTGTTCTTTTGCTGATAGCAGCTTTCCATTAGGAGGTCTTTCAGAATCAACTACCCATTCACCCATTCATTCAAGAAATGGTACTTTACTATTGAATGAGCAGGCTCGTAACTAGGGGAGAAATGTCAGGTAGAAAGGTACTGTGTTTTATAACATGGAAATAGAAAAGCCCCACTAGAGTTCCAATGAGGAACATGAAGTTCAGTTCACACTTGCTCAAATTCCCACAACTTGTAACTGTGAGAGCTGAGACTGGCTCCTCTTGCATTTGACATCAGATGGAATAACTGGAGAAACTGAGATTCAAGCCTAATTTGGATGGTACAAAAGCCTTGGGTCTTCTGAAACACTACACCATGCACCTCCCACAGGCTACTGTTTTAGTTCTCTGACAGATGCAAAGGTTATCTAAGTTATCAGCAATGAAAATAAAAAGGATCAAGGGGTAGAGACAAGATATAAATGCAGGTTATACAATGAGAATGGCATGATAGCTAACTAAATTAAGAATGAGAGGGAAAAGAATAGAATTAAGGATGGCCTAAGGGAATTCTCTGGTGGTCCAGTGGTTAGGACTCTGTGCTTTCACTGCTAGGGGCCATGGTTCCATCATCCTTGGTCAGGAAAAAACCAGGATGGTTTAAGCTTGGAGTTCAGGTAAGTAGAAAAATAATGATGCCATTAGCAGGATTAAGGATCTCAGCAGAAGAGAGTTTTTATTCAGTGAGAGCCTTGGAGGAAGGAAATGGAGGGGAAAATAGGTATGAGTCCTACATATAGACATTTAAGCCTGACAATAGGCAAGACTTCTTAGGAAGAGAGCAGGTAGGAAAAAGAAACAGAACACTGGAGAAAGACTGATGGCAGGAGATGAAATAGAAAAGGAGCTCTGAGAGAATATACTTTCAAGGAAGCCATGAGAAAAAAGAATTCAAGAGAACTGAGATGAGACCAGATGAAAGGCTGTCTTGTAAGAGAATGAAAATTTGTGGTTAGCAAACAGCTGACCCTGAGGTTTAAAAAAAAAAATTTTTTTTTAAGTTTCAAAGGAAGGAAATAACAGTCATTGTGTAATAAGTTTTCTAAAACTTGGCAGGCATTCAAATGTGGGTCCTTATCCGCCTTTCCGGTTAAGGTGAGAGCTAGGGAGAACTAAGCTCCCAAGGAGAATGAGGTTCTGGGGCTCTCCAAGGTGCTACTTCTCAACAAAATCGAAATGAAATCCTATCTTCATTCACACTGTGAGATGGAAAATGCAAATTAAGCGTCCGTTTTTGCCCTTATTTCCTTCAGGCTGGTAAAGCAAGACTGATGATGTTTTTGCCAGGTAGACATATGTCCGTCATTAAATTTGAATCTTAATATGGTCCACCACCCACGAAATATGAATAACAGGTTTTCCGAGTTTTTCCTGATACAGTTTTGGTTATGACAAACGATTTGGGATCCCCACTCTTCCTTACAAGTATGGCAAGAAAAGGGAACCGACGTCAATCGTTGATAATGGCGTGTTTGTTGTTTTTTTTTAAATAAATAATGGGTAGGCATCACTTAACGCGGTTTTAAAAACTTAGGTTATTCTTTTACAGATTTTGAGGAAGAGAAAACTTTTAAGCCGTCAAGTGGGAGCACAAGTATGCAAACAAGATTCAAAATTATCTTTCACAACACATGGCTTAATAAGGTTTCTCCCACTGTTAATTGGAGAAAAACAAACCTTGGATAGTTGCTGAAGGGACTGAAACAATTACCTTTACAAAGAAAGGTTTCTCCATACTTAAACGAAAGAGACCCCTGCTCAAGTCTAGACCATAGGATCTAGCACCTTTAGCAAGTCTCTCCCCACTCTAGGACTCAAATTTTCTCTGTAAAACAAGGGGAAAAGGTGTGTGTGCGTACAGAGACTGGTGGAAGCCCTTTAAAGCTTCTCTCCAGCTCGCAAGTTATTTCATAGTGATTTCTCCCCTTCATGCTATTTCCCTCGAAGAGGAAAAAGTTGTGAATTAACTCCTTGGATATGAAAATAAAAAAAGCAGATAGCCTGGCTTCAAGGAAACTTATTAGGGAACACGGATTCTGAAGAGCTCAATGACTTAAGGCCACCAGAACTTGCGCCGCAGCCGGCCTTCCCTGGCCTGCAGCCGCTGCTCCGGGAACAAGATGGCGTCAGCACGCAGGCTCTCGCCCCCGCCCCCGCGACTCCGCAATGCGGCCTCCAGCTGAGGCCGCACCCCATTGGCCAATGGCAATGAGATCATCGTGGGGGCGGTGGCCGGCGGCGGCGCGGAGGCGGGGCTTTGCGGACGCAGGCACGTCGAGGTGCGGCTGCCAGGCGCTGCGGAGGCTGCGGGCTTGGTTTGCGGCGGCTGCCTTGGCCGCGGCCCCCGACTGGAGGTGAGCGAGGGCTGTGAGTACAGCGCGGCCGGAAGCGGCCTTTGAGGGGCAAAGCAAGCCCTTCTAACGGCCCCCTCGGTTGTCAAAGGAATTAGCAGGGGCTTCAAGTCTCTGAGAGGAAATGGGGGTTCACCCCTCCTCGGGTACCCCTCTTGTGGGCAGAGGAACGGGAGGTTCACTCTCTTTTGGAGGCCCCGATCCCTTGTCCCATTTACGTGGAAGGTGGAGAAACTGAAGGTTAATGGGAAGGAAGAAGAATTGGGGGTCTTCTTAAAGGAACTCCCATTTGAGTGTTCTCCCCTTTATTCCTCACTCCAGGAGGTAGGTGTGCCTGGGCCTGGAGAATTCCTGCTTCTCACTGGATAGACAGGAAATGAGGCAGGTGAACTTGAATACCTCGTTAAGGGAGGCGAGGACTGGATGGCATTTGTGAGGCAGTAGGGCTCGGGAGCGCTTTATTTGGACTCCTCTTGGGCAGGATTACTGTTTCTTCCTATTTTGCTTTGTGACCCTCCCAACACCCCCGGATCGCTATGGCCTTTTTATTTTTCGCTTTGGCTCCAGTGGGACAGAGATGTTCTAGGGAGACTTGTAATCATTAAAGAGCAGAAACAGGGAGGCAACTCATTGGAGGTTGTCATTATCGGCAGCCTCTGAACTATGCTGATCTGGCATAATTTTATGTGCTTAGAGGTTGTGGAATCTGTTCGTGTTGGGGGGTGAAGTGGGGACTGTTAACAGCTGTTTTGGATGAGTCAGGTGTAGGCAGTCTCAAAGTCAAGCTACATAATCTCTTGAGAAATTCTTGCTTCTATCTGAATGTGTTGTTTTGCTGCCTTGAATGTCATGCACAAAGGTTTTGTCATTCAGATTTCTCAAAATGTCTCCCAGGCTTCCGGAGAAATAGCTCTTCCTTTGATGCCAGTTTCGCCTATCATTAGGAATGCCCTCATGATACCAGAAATAACGTGCATTTTGTTGAGTTTAGATTCTGTACAGTCCGTGCCTTACAATAGCCGACTGAGAATAAATAATTGCAGTTTCAGGACCACTGATAGCGCCAATTGTCTTTCCTACCCGGTAACGGTAAGACCGCCTCAGAAGGGTATCTTTATTGGCTCATTCATGAGAAGCTTTAACAGATGGAAGAACGTAGTTAATCTTGAAGGTAGGGATAAAAAACAGAAAGCTGCGGAGGTTGAAAGCTTATTCTCTGACGATAAAATTGCTTTGTCATTTCATGTGTTCCCATCATGATTGACTTGAAGTTGGGCTTAATGTGTAAGCTGTTTCTGTGTGTGTGTATGTAGAAGTTAACACTTATGTGTTTAGATTCTTTAGGGAGAAAATGGTGTTTTGTGAGGAGTTCGAAAAGGTAAATCCTTTAAGGTAGCTGTACCTTGAGGGCAGTGCTGGGACTTTGGCTGTTAGAAATTGGCAGTAGAAGAAAAAAAAAAAGAAATTGGCAGTTAGAGGATAGAAAACTAATTTCAACGGAGACATTCTTTTTGAGAGGGAAATTGAAGTCTCTTCTGATTGTTTCCTGACACAGGCAAAAACAAAAAAAGATCTCTGTGAATGTCACTGCCTTGTAATACTGTGTCTAGGGTATTTAAAGAGCTGTTGGATTCCCAGTTCCTGTTTTTAATCTGAATACATTCTTATGTATTGAGATGTCCCACATTATTGTCATTTGATCCTGATGTTGACTGCAAAGGAAGTGACTGTTCATCAGGCCCTCTTCACAAGAGGATTCAGTAACAGCCTTTGCAATTTCTTTTTTCTGTCTTTCTAAGCTAAGGATGTCAGAACAGTTGATAAAGATCTGTCAGCATGGAGTGGGAGAAATGAAATACAAGATGGAAGAGGCCTCCTGGGGTGTTTGCTTTCAGTCCTCTTGGTAGTTCCAAGTCCATGTAATTTTCTCTTTTTGCTTTAGGTTGCAGAGAAATCCTGGTACTCAGTTGACCGGTCCTTTCTGCCACCATGGGGGAGCTTTTCCGGAGTGAGGAGATGACACTGGCCCAGCTTTTTCTACAATCAGAAGCTGCTTATTGTTGTGTCAGTGAATTAGGTGAACTTGGAAAGGTTCAGTTTCGTGATGTAAGTAGTTATGGCTCCGCTTCTTGATTACCACTGAACTTTGTTTTTCTTGTTATGGCCAATTGCCTCATGACAAATGTTTTGCTTTTTATTTGCAAAAATAACATAGTATTGGCTTACTACTGGAAGAGTGTACATTGCAAGATGTCTTTGCACAGGTGGAAGTGATTTGTGCTGATCCTTCCACACTTTTACTAGCCTACCCTGTGGAGGATAATCTGAAGCATTCTCAACATAATTGCTTGAAATGCAGATAGAGGACAGCCTCCATCCTCAGCCTTCAAAAGTTCAAGGCTCGAACTTCACTTTTGGGCCCCTTAACATCCATAGTAGGGTATTTTTAAAAAGTGTCATAGCAAAAAAATAAAATAAAAAAGGTGTCATAGCTCTGCATACAATAGGATGTATTTATTACAAAATCTGAAGCATCCAGTTACAGATATATAGTGTATAAGGGTATACTGAATACTCACTGTTTTGAAGCATTATGCTAGGCACTTTGGAGGAGATAGCAAAAGAAAGTGGACAATCTAAGTATTAAAAAAAAAAGTATGTACTGTGAGGCTTACAATCTGATCAGGAAGGCATAATCTACGGTGCTGAAAGGAGGAACCCCTGTTATGCTATCTCAAAGCTCCATGTACCTCTTGTTTATAGCATTCATCAGAGTCCTGATTTTCTGTTCATCCGTGTGAGTGAATGACTAAAGAATGTCTCTTGTACAGTGATCTTAGCACCAGGAAGATAGAGACATTCACTATTATATCCTTAGTGCCCACATATAAGATAGTCAATATTTGTTGGAATGAATGAATAGATGAAAAAGGAGTGGTCAGAAAGGGATGGAATTATTCAGTTTTGACTTCCTGGAATCGGCAAGCTTTCTGGAAGTTCTGTCTGAGCTGAAATTGCACAAATATAATCCTGTTACAAAGTCTCATTCGTTTTTCTCTTTGAACCCTCTTATATTACCTCTCTTCAAATGTTCTTCTACCTAACTCAACTAATGCATCAATATTTTTTCAGTTTTTTAGACTTGAAGGCTAAATCAAACCTAACTCATCCTTAATTTGCAATCCTTTATTTCATCCTGTGGTATCTCCCTACCTAACACCATTGTGTGTATTCAGTGTTCTTAACTTTTACATCAATCATAAAAAAAATTAATAGGGATTAATAAAGTGAATATTTATTTTAGTTCCAGACCACTACAATAAAGTATCTCAATAAATTGAGTTACACAAATGTTTTGGTTTCCCAGTACATTTAAAAGTTATGTTGGGAATTCCCTGATGGTCTAGTGCTTAGGACTCCTCACTTTCACTGCTGAGGGCACAAGTTCAGTCCTTGGTTGGAAGATTAAGATCCTGCAAGCTGAGTGGCGTGGCCAAAAGAAAAAGTTGTGTTTATACTGTAGACTGTAGACTATACTAAAGTCTGTTAAGTGTGCAGTAGCATTATGTGTAAAAAAGCAGTACATACATTAATTTAAAAACACTTTGTTGCTAGAAAATGCTAACCATCATCTGAGCCTTCAACAAGTGGTAATTTTTTTGCATTCAAAAGATTACTGATCACCATAACAGATACAATAATGAAAATGTTTGAAATGCTGGGAAAATTACCAAAATGTGAGAGAGACAGAAAGTGAGCAGATGCTATTGAAAAGTGGCACTGATCAGCCAACCTTCCTCGATGCAAGGATGCCACAGACCTTCAATTCGTAAAGCAACACAATATCTGCAAAGCGCAGTAGTGTGAAATACAGTAAAGTGAGTTACGCCTGTGACTATGTTTCTATTATCTAATTAAGAGAATTACTCCACAAATAATTGAAAATGCCTGTGTATCTTTCTTCCATGCCATTCATTTGTCTCTCCCCTACAAAGGTGATCTCTACAGTCATCTTTGCTTTTGTCATTGCTTTGTGTTTTTCCCCCCACTTTTGCTGTGTGTGTGTGTGTGTATGTATGTATGTATCACTAAATAATAATATATGGTATAATTTTGTATGTTTTAAAACTATGTACATGTTTCATATTGTATATATCCTTCAGCAAGTGGTTTTTAAATTTAACACTGTGAGAGTTAACCATGTTGATACAGGTAGTATCAACCTGTATAGGTTAAATTGCGGTATAGTTATTGTAAGAGTATAGAGTTCAGCATTTTTTCCTTCTGATGAACATTTTGGTTGATTGCAGTTGTTTGCTCTATAGTGGTACAGTGAAGATTCATATATATACATGTATATATTATATATTGTGGTATACATATGTGATTGTTTCTCCTCTGTATATATTGTGTATATATCTTGGTATACATATGTGATAGTTTCTTCAGGGCAGTGGTTCTCAAACCTTTTGGTCTGAGGACCTCTTTATACTCTTAAAAAATTATTGAGGACCCTAGAGGGCTTTTATGTGAGTTACAGTTATTGATATTATTGTACTGGAAATTAAAACTGAGAAATGTTTGAAGTATTTATTTATTAAATCATTTAAAAATTATAATAAGCCCACTACATGTTACCATAACTTTTTTATGAAAAATAACTATTTTCCAAAACAAAAAAAATAATTTTGAGAGGAAGGGGATGGCTTTTACACTTTTGAAAATCTTTTAGTGTCTGAATTAGTAGAAGACAGCCTGATTCTCACTTGTTTCTGCAGTCTTCTGTGATGTATCTTATGAGCCTCTGAGAAATTTCACTGCACACTCATGAGAGGATGAGAATGAAAAGGGCAAATAATGTCTTAGTGTTACATGAAAATGGTGTTGCTCTTGTGGACCTGCTGCTGCTCCAGGGATTATAACCAGGAGGGGCATTGCTGAACATCGTGTGTGTCCCTGTTAGATGTAGTCAGAGTCCATACTTCACAGTGAATGTACCTGTTCGTGCTCCCATCGCTGGCTGAAGAGTTCATTTTGTTCCACAGTTGTGCCAACACCTCTGTGCTCAGACAGAAAGAAATTTGCCATGTGATGGTTATGAAGTGGTATCTTATTGTTTTAATTTGTAGCTTTTAGATTAGTATATTTAGTATCTTATTATTTGTTTATTGAACATAATGGGTTTCATTTTCCATGAATGTCTGTCCATATTATCTGCCTGTTTTTCTGTTGAGTTTGCTTGTCTTCGGCTCACTGACTTGTAGGATTTTTTTTTTAAAGTTCTTCTTGTACTCCGGAAGCTAATCTTTTTTTAATCCTCTACTGGTAACTTCTAGGCTGTGGCTTGTCTTTTCCCTCTGTTGATGGTATAGTTTGTCGTATATGTAAAGTTTATTTTTCTTTTTTTGTTATTAGTATTTTCTTTTTTTTCCTAAATTTTTATCTTGAAAAATTTCAAGCCTGAATACTTCGGTGTAGCCATTAGTTGTTAATATTTTGCTGCAGTTGATACATTCTTTTTTTTTACTGGACTATCAGAGTGAGCTGTCTCCTTCAAACCCTTTTTCTTTCTTTCTTCTTATTTTACCTTCAGTAACATGTTGATAAAGTGTAAGACCAAGCTGATACTAGTTAGGATTGTGTTCAGCTATATGTAACTGAAAACCCAAATGATAGGGATATACTTTTCTCATGTAACATGAAGCCCAGCTTCACGCTGTCATCAATGTCCTAAGATCACTTTGTATTCTTGTTTGAATATCCTTGAGCACTTGGCTTTTGTCCTTACAGATGATCACCACAACTCACAGCATTTCATCCATATTCTAGGCAGGAAGAAGGAAGTGCAAGGAGGAAGGGGAAGTACTTACATATGGAGGAAAACAATTTTCCCGGAAATCCTCATCAGACTTTGCTAATTAATCATTGGCCAAAATTATGGTGTAATTTAGCTGCAAGGGAGTTTGGGAAATATGGTTGTTGTTGTTTTTTTCAACTGATCTGCTACTGCCATGAACAAAATTGGGATTTTTGTTAATAAAGAAATAGAGCAGAATGCTTTGTGTCTTATCACACAGTATGCTAGTCTTGCTCCTAACTTTAAGGGTAATCTTTTAGATTTTTTTATAGTTTAAATAGGATGTTTATTCTTAATTTTGGGGGGGAAATTCTGTTAGATTACACAGATTCCTTTCCATTTCTGGTTTTTCTGAAGTTGTCACAAATAGTTGTGGAATTTTACTGAATGCCTTTCATTTATTGAGATTACCATTTAAAAAATTTTTTTTCTCCTTTAAATCTGTTAATTTGGTGAATTACATAGGCACTTTTTTCCCTACCAGTTTTTTTGAACAGCTTTACTGAGATACAATCCACATACCGTACAATTTGTCCATTTCAAGTGTACAGTTCAATGATTTTTATTATATTCACAGAATTGTACAATCATCACCACACTCAATCTTGGAACATTTTCATTACGCCAAGAAGAAACCCTGTACCCATTAACAGTCTCTCCCCATTTCCTCCCAACCCCACTCCCCGCCTCCAGCCCTTGGCAACCACCAATCTTCATTGCTGTTTCTGTGGGTTTGCCTATTCTGGACATTTTATGTGAGTGGAATCATGTAATATGTAGTCTCTTGTGTCTGGCTTCTTTCACTTACTGTAAAAGTTCAACTATATTGTAGCTTGTATCTGTTCTTTTCTTTCTTTTTTGTATCATTTTTTAACTATGAACATACGCAGCATATTAAAATGGGTGATTTTAGTATAAGTAATTTTTACTTATCTTCTGTACAAAAGATATCGCCCTGGGTTTTAAAGAGAGAATTAAGACATGTTTCATTGCTTGACTTGTCCAAAGTCTTTTGTGGCTTCTCTGCCCTCATTCATTTTTTCCCTTTGACACACTTCTAGTCTATTCTTCAGGCCCTTACTGTCCCAACACTTAGGATCATAATGACAACTTATATTTTTTGAGCAGATGCCATGTTGAACATTTTGCATTATTATTGCAGGCATTCCTCACAGCAACCTGAGAAGTAGAAGTATCAGTACTTCACTCCTTTTATGGCTGAATATTTTCCATTATATGTATATACCAC